GTTGGTGGTCTAGTTTCATTTTTTTTTTGCAAGTATCTGTCCAATTTTCCCAAAACCATTTATTAAAGAGACTGTCTTGACTCCATTGTATGCTCTTGCCCCCTTTGTAAAATATTAATTGAGCATAATCAGGCCTCTTGAATTTATTTTTTAAATGAAAGTCCAGTGACTTCTGGAAAATATATGGAACTAAGGAGAAAGCATAGAATCACCAAGTACCCTTACAAACAATTTTTCTTAGAAATAATCAAAGTATGCTTATTACACTTTGCCTCCCACTCGAATTTCTCTAGCCTTCCCTGAGGTTGCATGAGGAATAAATTGGCATTCTTTCTTCTTAGGGCTGTTAGGGCTTCCTATGGCTTCCCACACCAATCTAAATCATAAAACCCATTCTGATTCCTTCAGAATAAACATTTGGCTTTAAATTTATGCATTTGGTTCATAAATTTTGGTAATTTATATTTTATAGTAAACTTCCTGCTATATTTTATGTGCTAATTCTTAAGACCAAGAAAAAATAATTGGAGTTTCTAAATTCATATTCAATGAAAAATATAACTGGTAACCTAAAAATGCACATTTTCCTTGTCACCCAAAATCCACTAATGGGATGAAATCAATGCTGCAGGTGAAAAAGGTGAACTTTCAACAGGAGGAAAAAGGGAAGATACCTTATTAAGGAAAAGTGAGAAGATGAAGGGGAAAAAAAGATTTTTATACCAAATTATCTCAATATTTTAAGGAAGACCAGTTCTTAAGAATAAGGTGTGATTATTTTGATAGGAGGCTTAAGAAGTAAATACTTGCAGTAATCAATGAAATGAATGGAAAATAAAGATGGCTAATACAAATAAATAAATAAAAATCACTATCAGGGGCCACATTTCTCATCTATTCTTTCAAACTTCACTTAACACATTTTACTTATAAATTCTTCCCAACTTCTCTGGGTATTTAGTAGTTTGTGTTTCTGAAAACAGACATGAATATTGTACAATTATCTATTACATCTCACAATTCAATTGCAATAATTGTGATTTCCATTTCTACTCATGAAGAAATGGCCACTAGGGAAATTGCCCTCTAACCATAAATATTGTAGCTGGAAAACCAGAAAAAAGTATATGAACCAACTGTGTTCAGTCATTTGGCAATAGATATTCCTGTGATCTCCAAGAGGAAGGGAATAAATGAGGTAACCTTGACAATTGCCCCAGCTTACACCCTGAAGACAGTTTCTAGGAAACATCATGAAATATGGAACTCAAATGCAGCCCAGTTTATTCAATACATTGAGAAGACAGAAATTGGAGTTTAGGGAGGCTGACACAGGTAGAATTTGCAGGAAGAATATGAGATAGAGAAAGAAGGGAGGGAGGGATAGAGGGATAAGCAGATCCCAGTGATCTAAAAAGAACCCACCCCACCCCACCAATTCTTTGAATGTATAATTATCTCAACATGCATGGGTTGAGACTCCATGAAGCTGGGGAAAGAATTACTAGAAAACAATAGACTAAACAACTGGGAATATTTCACATTTCCACCAGTCAGAGGAGAGAGACCTCATAGTATTTGGGCAGCAGGTCAAGGACCAAGAAGGATATTGCCCGAGTAGTTGTAGGGATAAATTAATACTAATTACCCCAGATTTAGGGATGCCTTACCTAATAAAAGATAAAAAGCAAGCCTAAAAAATATTAAATTGATTTCATGTAATTTAATAGTTGTTCCAGAGAAAGTCCAATACTTTAATAGAATACAGCAACCAACAATATTAAGTATACAATATCAAGCATTCAAAAAATAATTACATGAAAAGACACAGGAAAATATGACCCATTATTAGATTAAAAAATAATAAATGCAGATCCAGAAATCATAGAGATGATTAAATGAGCTGATAAGAATGTTCAAAAGCTAATGCAAAAATGTGCACCATATGCTTAAGAGAACAATGTGAGCAGGATGAAGAGGATGAGAAAAGGTAGACTAAGTGAAGACAAAAAATATAAACCTTAAGTGAAAATACACTGGATGAGAGTAATCATAGATTATGATACTAGAGAAGATGACAACTGGTAAACATGAACAAATAATGATAAAAATAATCAAAATGAAACACAGAGATAGTGAATATATCAAGTACTCTAACATATGTGCAAAAGTATTCCCAATAAGTGGGTCAGGGAAGAAAAACTATTTAAAGAAATAGTGACCGATAATTTTCCAAATTTAACTATAAACCCACAGATCTAAAAAGCTCAACAAACCACAATCAGAATGAACATAAAAAAACCCACACAAACTTACCTCATGATCAAAATCAATCCAAAACACAACAGAAAAAAGGAAAAAAAAATGGAGGAAAGTACAGAGAGTAA